CCTAAACCCTAAACCCAGACCCCAAGCCCTAAAAAATCCACGTTCGTGTTTTTTCCCCGAGCCCAGAATGTCTGATGTGCATCCAGGCCCAGGGTCGCTCCGAGACGCACACGCTCCTTTGAGATTTTGGGAAGAGCTGTCGGGTTTAAGGCTTACCTATAGGCTCCATCATAGTGCTTTTTGTGGTTTATATGTAGGATAGGCTCCATCATAGTTCGTTTTGTGGTTTATATTTAGGATAGGCTGCATCATAGTCCTTTGTGTGGTTTATATTTAAGATAGGCTCCATCATAGTCCGTTTTGTGGTTTATATTTAGGATCCTATAGGGTAAATCCCAAAGAGGAAAATACAATGGAGACTATGGGAAGGGTCTGCACGGGAGAGGCGGTAGGCAGGGTTCAGGCTTCCTGGCCTAGACCTAAACTCCCAACCCCTGAACCTGGGGGTCCAGGGACTCGAACGCAGGGTTTCGGGTTTTTGGCGTTCTTTGTATTCGCCCAGGCCGCACTTAGACCAGCTCATCCGGGAGGGTGTACTTCTGGAACGGCACTACGCCTACAAGATCTGCTCTCCCTCCAGGCCTTTGGCTTTAGCGTTTGGCGTTTAGGGGGCGGCCGAAACCTTGAAAACCCAATCCGTGGCTGTATCGAAGGATGTAGGGTTGTGGGGTGTCGGGGTTCAGATTGACAGGTGCATGGGCTTGGGAGCGGAGTGAGAATCTAGGGTTGAGGCCTTGCAAGCTTCCAGGCGGGCTTTGTCATCCCGGGCAAAGAACCTAATCAGCCTTAATTAGGGCTCGGGTACACTCCAGCCCCCTCCCAGTGACAGTCTAAAATGAAGGTACTATTAAGGGCTATTTGTGTGTAAACATATATATATATATATATGTCTGTATGTATAGATTCTATACTTTTGATCCAACAGTAGCGGAATGCATCAGGGGAGCATTGTCTTTCCCGGCAATGACCGCCTTTGGCGCATCTTGTCTGTTGGCATCCTGTTCGTCTTGTGTGTCGACGTCACGGTCCGGCCCGAGAGTCTTCCGAAGCATCAGAGCCACAGTAACCCATCATGTTAGAAAGCTGCTCTATACCTCAAGACCCAAACTCCAAACCATGAGCCCTAACAGCCCGGAACATACGAAGCCGTAGACTCCAACCCCTAAACTTGCCCTCAACCTTACCCACAGCATTCCAACAGCCTACTGCTCAGCCCCAAAACCCTCAAGCCCAAGCCGTTTCCGCTTGAAATTTCAGAGGTCTTCCCTTCAAAGTGGGCGATTGGCGGTGCACGTGAACACGGTAAACACTGGCGTGACGTTCTGGAACCCGGAGGACACATAGGAAATGTATTGGGGTTACATGTATGTAGAGAGGAAATAGGCAGGAATGCGACACCCTCAACCAAAAACCCTCCAAACAAACCCTAAACTCTGAATTTATTAGGACTAAGGGTTTGCGGTTAGGCCTTCGGATTGCCCCCCAACGAACTCACAAGGAAGCTCATCCAGCCTTCTTTTACGGGAGCAGGAGTTCCTGTCGGCCCCCTTGAGGGCTCCACGTAAGTTCATCGGTAGAATCGCGACCTTTGCGGGACCCTTCGGTCCAGGATCTAGAATCTCAGCAAAATCTGAAAGAGTCACACGGAAGGAGGGTGGGTCAGGTTTCTAGGTCCAGAGGTTTACTGGGTTTAGGGCTTAGGGTTCAACAGCTTGGGTTTCGACAACATAGTGGATTTGGGGAGAACGGCTGCAGGACCAGATCCAACCAAAAACTGAGGTTTTTCAATCTTGCTCCTGAAGTTAAAGAGCCCTTGAGAACAACCTAGCCTGAACCCTAAACCTTGGCGTCCCTTCTGTCGCTCTGGGTTCTGTGAAGCCCAAAGAGTAGCCCAGATGACTGTCCCAGCGTTTCCGGGTATCAATGTATCAGGGCGTGAGGACTCCAATGTGCTGATCCCCGGAGGACAACGTGTCAGGCTTTGCCGGTGTTCCAGCGAACATGACGGGCCTTGCGGAGAAGATGCAAGATGCCGGCTACCGGACGCACCTGGTGCGGAGTTGAAAAAATTTCGTCAACTTTGGCTTTCGAGCCCTAAACCGTGTAATGTCCCCAAACTCCTAAGCCTTAAATCCCAAATTTTCAGCCCTATAGATTCGAAACCCTAGTCCTGTACAGGTGGGCAAATGGGACGCAGGGATGGCCACGCCCTTACACACTCCGCTGGGTAAGGGCTACGATTCCTGGCTGGGGTACTTCCAGCATGCCAATGACTACTGGCAAGAAAGCATGCCCTTCACATCCACAGGCAACGTTGACATTTGCTTGAGCCTTGGCTTTGCTAGGAGATCTTTGTTTGAATGTTCTTATCAGGGTGTGTCTAGGAAGGTCTAGACTCATTTTACACGGAAGCCTGGGCGCTGAAGGAATAAGTTCCGAGACTTCTCCCTCTACAACGGAACTTACCGGGCGGGTGTCACAGAAGCTGTGGCTCGCGAGCTGGGATGCAACGCCAGCGTGAAGCACAAACAGACAACTGGGATCAAGCCGCAGGCGAGAAAATGACTGTTCCCAACCCAAGCAGATTCTTCTCTTTTTTCCGTTGACAGTAGAAGAGAAGATGGAAATCGTCGTGTCGTAGTGCTTGCCTGTGTGCTTTTTCAATTACATCCGCAGACATGTGATCATAGCAAGTCCCGTGTCTGAAAGTGCACTTGCAGAGCTATGAGCTATGGCAGCTGTGATGTCGGGTTCGCATGGAAGTGGAAAAGTCAGGAATAGTGCACGTAGCATTTGCAGCTGCAGCCAAGTCTCGAAGCTTGAAGGTTAAGTTCTTGAGCCCTATACAACTAGACCACACCCTGCGCAGGTCAATGCTACCGGTTGCAACAAGGATGATCCCGACTACTGTCTTCCCGACGAATGCTTCGAAGAGGCCATGTTCAACCAGCATCCCAGCCTGTGTTAGGAACGGACGCTAGACCATGAAAAACTCTGACTGCCTGAACCTTCGGACCTCGAGCCCAAACTCTATACTAAGCTTCAAAACAAAACCCTTGACTAGGGTCGAAAGGGGTTTAGACATGCCTGACTTTTCTTCCAGGTATGCTCTGAGGATCATCAGGGAGCACGACCGCCTCAAGCCGCTCTTCCTCTTCTACTCCTTCCATCTCCTCCACACACCCTTGCAGATCCCAGAGTCCTACTTGCAGCTGGTCCTACCTCTGCCCTCAGCCATAAAAACCCTAAACCCTACATCCAGCCCTGACCCCTAACCCTTCAGCCCTCAGCCGTCACTCCCAGACCCGGCACCGTCAATCCTGAACCTGAAGGCCTTTCACGAATGCTCCAAAGGCAGAGCCTATTGTCAACCGTAAACCCCAAACACTGGAACACCCTAAACCCTATCCCAGGCATGAGATTGATAGAATCGTGGCCCAAAGCGGCGTCCCGCAAATCATCCCGTGGACGCAGAACCGTCGGCTCTACGCCGCCATGACTTTGTGCCTGCTTTGCAAGGGGTGTCGGTTTAGGGCTTAGGGTTTAGGGTTCAGATTGTAGGGAATTTGGGTTTAGGGTTTGAACCTGAGTCCGCGAGAGAGAGAGAGAGGGTTTGAACCTGGACTTCTGATGATTTGTTTTTGTTGTCATCAAAGGTATAAAATGAATTTTCCGCTGGATATCTTTCATTCTAACGGTTCCATATCTTTCTGGGTGTGTTTGTATACATATGTATACATATGTATACATGTATATATATATATGTATGTATGTATGTATGTATGTACAGATATAGATAGATAGGGCGACCCTAAGCATGAGGAACGCAGGATGCTCATGGCATGTCTTCAGCAGCCTCAGCAGGTACATGGATACCATGGTGGGCAATTTGATTTCTGCCCTCAAAAAGCGCCAGATGTACGAAGACACCCTCATCGTGTTCACCTCGGACAATGGTGGGCCCGTTTACGAGCCTGGCTCAGCCAACAACTGGCCTCTGAAAGGCGGCTCGTCATAACCGTACAAAACATAGTAAGACTTGCTTGTATTGCATGGTTACTCTATTATCTCTTGCTTTGTAAGATCGATTCTAGTAGCAATGTAATACAACCCTCCCAAGCCCTCAAGCAAAACCACGTGATGCCCTGGAAGACGCAACCGGAGGCCTTCGGCCCTGACATCCGAAACCTCAAACCCCCAAACCCCGAAACCCTAAACTCTAAACTCCTCGACTGGCTTGTCCGAGTTGTGAGAGTGTAAAACTCTAAAATCCGAAGCCCCGAACTTTCAAACCCTGGGCTCCAAATTCCTGGACACCTCAGCTCCTTGCAATTGATGGTAAACTCTTCCGCGACAATTCCAAACCCCGGGCATTTTCAATTTCTTTCAATTGAATCATTGCATGTGAACTTGATTGACGAATTGATGCCTGCACGCATTTCGCGCATGAGTCTACAGCCGGTGAGCCAGCACACACAGCAGATGTGAGTGGCGAAAGAAGCGCTCTTTTGCAGTCTGGGAGGGCTTCAAGTTTCACCATGCTTGGGTCGATGAACGTAAGACTTTGGGGGCCAAGTGCCGGAAGTGCATTGATCAGTGCACCGGGGGTCTGTCTCGTCGCGACACTCGGATCCTCGCCTGGCTTTGCCTAGGTGCGAATGCTGAAACCCGTTATCCCTAAACCCAGACCCCTTTCAAAACCATGCTGCCAACCCCTAGTGCGCGAACGGACCGCGTTTGGCTGAGTCCGACTTGTGAGAGTGTAAACGTTTTCACAACCCTACCTACGGAGGAGGCAAGTACAGCGACTGGGAGGGAGGCGTGCGAACCAACGCCTTCGTGTCGGGCGGCTTCGTGCCCTGGGCCCGGCGTGGCACGAAGTTCGGTGGCGTGATCTCCATCGCGGAGCTTCAGAGCAATAATTTGAGAACATGACATATGAGCCATATGAGTTGTAGTCCAACCTCCTTAACGGTTTTTTTAAGGGAGTAGTATAGGGGTTAAGACAGGGGATGCGAGAAGTTGAGACTATAGCTCACATGTGTTCTCCCTAGTATGGCCCGTGTTACTATGCAGCAGCCGCAGCAACAACTACTGCTCGTACAAGTGCTGCCGCCGTTGGTATTGCTACGGCTTCTACTGCTGCGACTGCTGCTGCTGCTGCTGCTGCGCTATTAGTCTTACCACTTGCGTGCCAGTAGTGGCAATGGTCATGCTCCGAGGACAGCAGCGGCGTACCTTCATTCTGGTGTGTTTTTGTAGCTTCATTCTGGTGTGTTTTTGTAGCTTGTTATATCTCGTACTATGTAAGCTATAGTCTAAAACTCTTAGAAACCGGTTCATTGCCTCCTATAAGCATATAACTTTCAAGGCTGTTGCTGAAATCATTGCATCGTCGCTTGCAGGACAAGCCCTTGGCTTGCAGTCACCAAAAAGACGTTCTAGCTACTGGTGTATTAGGGAGAGTGGGCGAATGAACATGCGGACTGTCATAGGGATATATATTCTGAGCCATTCCGTTAAGCGCCAGTAGGTTTAGGCTATCGTTTTTTGGGTTGAGAGTTGAGCGTCTAAGGTTTGGGGATTTAGGGCTTAGAGTCCAGGGCTTTCGTGTTTTAGGATGTAGGGTTTTAGAGGATGCAAGCCTTTTCTACAAGGCCCTCTGCAGTTTGGTAGCCCCACATGATGCCATCAAGGAACTAATGATGAGAGTCATGTTGCTGATCATATGGAGCTTTGCTTTGGCAATGGGGTAGCCAAGATCCCCTTGTCGCAACTGTGGCTGAGGATTGGTATGCAACACTATCCACCATCGTGGGCGTTCCCGTTCACGACGAGAAGGCCGAGCAAGCCAACAGGTACTTGGTTCAGAATGATTTGCCCCTGCTACCCCCCGTGGACGGCCGGCCCCAGTGGGAGAACATCGTTTGGGACATCAACGGCCGGAAAGATGCCTTGCACCTTAGCCAGGAGGCCCTCTTGTGGTGGCCCTTCAAGCTTGTGACGGGCCAACAGGTTTACAGCTTCTACCAAGGCCCCGTGTATCCCAATTGCACTACGGTAGAAGGCTTCAATGCAGATGAAGGACCCATCTTCTCCGACATGCACGTCTTTGGCGTGCCCCTCTACGCAAGCGTGAATGCCACGCAGCAGGATGAACTCACGATGGCGAGTGACTGTGGCTATGGCGGCTGCCTCTTCAATGTGGAGCGCGACCCCAACGAAGTGCAGGACCTTGCTGCTGACCCGGTTTATTCCGATGTGCTCTTCCAGATGCAGAAGAAGCTCTACTACCTCAACGAAGGTGGGCCATGTCAGCTGTCAATCTTCACCATGGCAACTTTACTTTCCTTTCTGCCCTTATCTTATGAACCTCTGAGGCCATATCAATCCTCTTGCTTTGTTTGATTGCGTACGGTTGCGGGCAACTGCATAAAGCCTATAAAGCTTGATGCCGAAAACCCGAAGCCCTAGACCCTAAATCCTAAAGCCTGGCCCAATTCTTGTGCCTAAACCCCACATAACCGAAGGTTGCAGCCATATGTACCGTGTAATCCTGCATCCTAAACCTAAACCCTTAAGCTCTACACCCCAGAACTCTGAATCCCAAATCCCTAGGCCCTAAACCCCCTAAGCACTTTGTTGAACATTCGGCGAGGGGAAAAGAGTCGTGCAAAAAAAACCCTAAACAGTTGCAGGCAACTTCAATTAAGCGCTAAACCCCAAAACTCTGAATCCCAAATCCCTAGGCCCTGAACCCCCTAAACCCTAAACCCTGAACCCCCTAAACAGTTGCAGGCAACTTCAACCCAAACCGCGGAGAGCCGGCTGTTGAAGCCTGCCTGCAAGCCGCCGATCTCGGAGGCCGGGGCTGGCGAAGAAACTGGACGCGATACTTGCACAAAAAAATACATAAAAGGAAAAATATGTGTATTATATATATATATATAGGTATATGTATATATAGACGTATGTACGTATGTACGTATGCATGTATATGTATGTATGTATGTATGTATGTATGTATGTATGTATGTATGTATGTATGTATGTGTGTTGTCGACACCCGAAGTTCCGGAAAGTAGTCTTGTACAGGACCATTTCCCGAACAACATGGACACGAACATAGACAATGCAGTGGAAAGTTGGGGTTCTATCGGCGCTGGGAGGCTTTTAGGGTTAAGGGTTTTATGGTTGGAGGGTCGAGGGTTCAGAGGTAAAGGCTGGCTGGTCGATTCCCAAGGAAGCTGCAGGAGGTCGCCGGACTCCCGAACTAGCCCCGGATCTCCCCTGTCAACACCAGGCTTCTACGGTCCTTTCGTGGAGGTGGATGACTTCTACAAGGGAGTGAACCTTACTGAGGACCTGACCAGCCAAGTTCGTCCCAGCTACAGTAGTCACTAGACCATAAACCCTTCGGCCAAGATGCCCTCGATTTGGGAAGAAGGTTTACAAAATCTGCCTATGGGGCTTTGAAGGCTGGACCATGCTGAACCCGCAGCTTGCTCACGGATCTGGGGTATAGTGGAAGATGAGGGTTGACTTCTAATTACGGAAGTCTCAGTCATCATTGCCCTTCCCACGTGGTCAGGTTTGGGGGTTTAGCAGCCTGAACCTAAACCCGAGCGCAAGGGATTAGGGTGCAGGGGTTCAGGGTGTAGGCACTCTTTGTCGACGCCTTTATATGGTCGGTTTTGGATAAAATGCGTTTGCGTATAGAGTTCGTGCAAAAGGATGTTCTCAGTAATTAACCTGCGGGTTTGAGTCACCAATACTGTGTTGAGGTTTGTTTGAGGTAGTCTGGGTGGAAGTATACAAGGACTTTAGGATCGTTGTTTTGAAAGTATTTTGCTTTCTAAGGGTGGGTTTGGCGATAGGGTCTTTCCATGTACTTCTTGACATGGAGGCTTTGCTGTGCAAAGAGTCACCAATCTAAGCTCCAACTCCAACCCTATATAGCTTTAGGGTTTATAGGGTGTAGGAGCTTGAGGTTTGCTCGCAGAGATGTTTTTCCTCGCACCCAGACCCTAAACTCCTAAACCTTAAATGTCAGCTAGACACCGATGTCTGAAACTTCTGTCAGGAGCAGACGATTCTCGAGGCGTCAAACAAGGAGGAGCTCCTTCAGCTGAACGAGACGCTGCAGAAGGATATGTGGATCATAGGCTTTGGGGTTTGGTTTTCAGGGTTGTTTCGATACCGTTGCAAGTGCTGAACCCTACCCCCCCAAGCCTTGAACCTTGAACCACTAAACCGCTGAACTCCTAAGCCCTTAGACTCCTAAACTACTAAACCCCTTGACTCCTGAACCCTTACCGTTTCGTAGGAATCCTAAATGTCAAAGTCAAAATCTCTAAACCTCAAGGCCTAGGCCCCAACCTCGTGGCCTAGATCTCGTCTGAAGAGCCCAAAGCTAACAGGAGGGCGAGAAGTATGTCATCGAATTCAGTGAAGAGCGGCTTGGACAAGACTGGAGCTGGTCATTTAGGGTTTAGGGTGGAGCAGTTTGCATCTGGGGTCCAGGGTCTAGACTTCTCGTGCGGATTCAAGCTTTCGATATATACAGGGTTTAGCGTTTAGCGTTCAGGGGTGTATGATTCAGGAGTTCAGGGTGTGGGGTTTCGAGATCATGCAGGATGAGAAGCCTTTGAAACCCTGTACGAGGCTTTATCTTCGCGTGAGGGCCAGTTCCTCCCCCCTCGTGATTTTAATACGCTCCTTTCCACTCGATGTTACATAGCCGAACCCTTAAGCCTACTTGTTTGAAGTCAGGAGTTCCTGCGGTTTGAGGTTCAGGGTTTAGGGTTTTCTGGCCGGGTGACACCCAGAGGCCTACGCCGTAAACCTTCATAATCCCAAGCACCGCAACTCCAAGTTCTAAACATCAACACCCAATCACCACAGCCCTGAAAGCCTCACACGGTTTGGGGTTCAGGGTTTGGAGTAAAAGCCCTCGGCCTTCCAAGCCTGACACCCAAGGTATGGCCTGATTGACTTGTTCCGCCCGGGCCCCAACAACTCCATGGACGTCTGCATGAACGACACAGGGAGCGATCCAGCTCTGACCTTGCTTCCCTGAGAATTTTGTTTGAGTTGCCGGGGGCCACCTGCCTCCACACTTCCGTGCAACAACACACTTTTGTTTCGCCGGTGAGGGCACAGTGCTATGGCTGTTGTCTTCTTTCGGGTCTCTTGAGATGTATAGACATGTACAGGTGCAACTCACAACCGGCAGGAGCACGGCGGTGTCGACCAGTGCCGCATCTCCACGCCGGTACAACAAGTACTACAGGCGCTCAGGGAAGTGCGTCTGGGGGAAGAAGTGGCGCTGCTGGGGGCTCTTCTGCTGCAATCACAACCGGCGCTGCCTGCCGCGCCAGCTTTGCAGGCAGAGAAGTCTTCGCTGATTCATGCTGCAGCCGATGTAGCCTTCATGCCTCACTTGTGTGAGATTGTGTGAGATTTGGCTGACATGTGAGTTTTGTTTCTGCCGCAGAGGCAACCTTCGAGCAGTTCCCCCCCGGCAGCGCAGCTCTCAGGGACGCGAGCTTCGGAAATGCGGCTTATCACGGATGGCAGAGATGCCTCCCAAATGTACAAATGCGAGGATATTTGCCATCACGTTTGTGAAATCCAGCATTCGTCTCCAGCAAGATGCCCGCACCTATGCAACACAAGACTCGATGCTGTCTTGCAAGTCGCACAGGTCTTCTGCATCCAGGGCCTGTGCTCAAGCGTCATCTCAAATCAGACGCACGAGGAGGCCGGCTTGTTGCAGAAGCGAGTGCGGCGCACAGACCAGGTCTTCAGCGAGGAGACCGAGGTCGGTTGCCAGCAGCCAGCAAAATATTGCCGGCTCTTCTGCAAGCAGGGCGTCCTTCTCGACAACACCATCCAGCAATGTCTGGCGGGCTGCCAGGCGAAATTCCCCGCAGTCTTGGCGCAGATGCAGGCCTTTGTAAGGGGAGGCTGCTGCGAAGCTCGTGATGCTTGAGCTGTGGTCTTGACATGTGTTTTTGTTTTGAGACGTGGAAGCCTGTGGAAGCCTCCAGCCCCTGTATCCCTCGACTCACGCAGTGTATTCTCTTCCTATCCTACGTGTTTCTTCTATCCGTTTATTTCAATCGTTCCTGGATGTTACACGTGTTTAGTTTAAGAATTTATTTTGTGCATTCATTCATTTAAATCAGGAGATAGACTTTCTTTGCATTTAAATAGAATGAATCCCATGTTCTCTGTTCCTATAGTTCGCGAATGGTCTTTTGCTTCGCCTTTTAATGAATGAAGAAAGTGGAAGCAAAAAACCAGGATTCGCGAGTTGTGTTTTTATCTTCAGTTCTCCTCGCTTGGCCTCCTGGTGTGGTCACCCGGGGCGCCGCGGTGGTGTCAAGGGGGCTGATAGACAGTCCCTGGTGTGGGCCTGCCGTGGTGTGCTCGGGTTGACAAGGGAGGGCCTG